AATGATTTTTTTATCATTCAAGTCGAATGATTTCTTATCATTCTTCTTGAATGATTTTTTTATCATTCAAGTCAACTTAAGTCAACTCGAATCAAGTCAAGTTTAAATCGAGTCAAGTTAAATATTTAACTTGACTTAAATTTGGCTTGACTCACAAATCATCAAGTTAAAAAAACATAAATTCAATTTGATTTGAACTTGACTCAGCTTATCTCACCTGTGAGTTAACTCGACTCATCCAGAACTCTAGGAAAAAGTGAATAATGAAGAGTTAAAGTTAATTAAAAAGCTTAAGTAAAAACTTTGAAATAGTAGTTTATTTCTATATGATAAACTAACCTTAATAATTTTATTAATTATAAATTAATTTTTTTATTTTTTATTTTTTTTTTACATATTTTTTTATGTATAATTTAGTTTTATTTACATATTATATATAGTTTATTTACATTAATAATCTTAGTATTTTTTTATATTTTTATGTAATAATATGGGCTTTTTATAATAGAAAAGGAGGAAACTACCAAAAAAAATTATTTTGAGATAATGTTAAATCTGGACTTATTTTATTAAAAAATAATATTTAGCTTATAAAACAAAAAAAAAGTTTTTTCAGTAGTTTTCTCTCTTTTTATTGTAAAGAGCTCATATAATAAAAATAGTATGAAATGATGATAGTATGATAATGATTAAATAATACTTTTGTAATTGTATTAAAATTTTATTAAAATTGTATTTATATTTATTAAATTCATATAAGTTATTTTTAGATTAATTTAATTTTTATAAAAATTATGATATACAATAATAATATGATATTTAGATTATTTTTTGACTTTTTATTTTTAATATAAATTAGAATTTTGATCACAAAGAGTATTTATTGTATTATTTTAATTATGAGTTTTACTTATTATATTTGATTTTATAAATAATATAATACACAATTATAATATAATGCTTAAATTATTATTTTAACTTTTTTTTAATACAAATTAAAATTTGATTATGAAAAGTTTTTATTGTATTATTTTAATAATGAATATAGAATTTCACAATATATCAAATTAAATAGATAAATTTATTTATAAAGAAGTAATTTACTATTATATAATTTTTTATTTTTAAATTTAAATTATTAAATTTTCACTTTTAAATCATTTAATTTTACACCTTTGAATTAAATGTAAAAATGCTTATAAGAATAATTAGGAGGATAACAAAATAGATTTATTAGTAAAAGAAAGAAGGAGGAGAAATTACGAGTATTATATTAGATATAGAAGTAATAAAATAGGATTCTGATAAAATATAACCTGACTAATAAATTACAAATATAATATTATTTATTTTACTTATTAATACAAGTAAAAATAGAAGAATTTAATACATGATTACAATATAAGTAAATAAATAAATAATAATATAATAATAAATATAACTTAACAGAATAATTAATATTTTTAAAACTTCTGCAATTATTGAAATAAAATAAGAAAAAGTAAGAGGTAGACTTATATAACAGAAAGATTATATGATCTCTTTAGGACTCAATTTTGAGATAAATTAAATAATAATTAAAAATATTTAAATGATTTTTAGATTTATATTAAAAATATTTACTTTTTTAGAATTAAGATATACTTAAAAAAAAAATCATATTTTACATATTACAAAGTAAACTTATAATATATAAAATACAAGATAAAATTGTAAAATACTTATGAGATAATAATCATAAAAAATTTTTTCATTTTAATTTTTTTAAAAATTTAATTTTTTCATTTTGTTTTGTTTATTTAATTTTATTTTTTGTTTCATTTGATTTTCTTAATTTTAATTTTTTAGTTAATTTTGTTTTATAGTTTTGTTTAATTTTTTAATTTTATATTTTATTTTATTTAGTTTTTTTATTTTATTTTTTATTTTATTTTATTTTATTTTCATTTTGTTTTTATTTTTTTATTTTATTTTTTAATTTATTTTAAAAAAATGATAAATTAATAAAACTGTTATATAATAATTAACAGATTATATATTAAAATAAAATAACTAAAATTTATAAAATAATGTAAAAATATTTCTGAAAAAATTTATATTATAATAAATTTAATGAAATCAGTAATCATCTACTATATTAAATAATTCGTTATAATATTAATAAATTTTTTTATAACAAAATTCTGATCAGTTCAAATACTAAATTTGTTATATTAAGTTTAACTGTTTTATCTATTTACTATTTATTTAATACTCTCAGTTAATATTAATACTACTTTTATATAACCTCAGTTAAATTAGATAATGATTTTTTTTTAATATATTTTAACTTTATTTATATGATTTACTTAATATTTACTTAATTTTATCTTGATACTCTAGTAATAAAGTCTTAGTTATAAGATTTATACTTGATTATAATATAAGCATTTTGTAGTAAAAAAGAAGAAAATTACTAAAAAAATTTTTTTTTACTTTATAAACTAAATATTATTTTTTTTAATAAAATAAATCTAGATTTAATATTAACTTAAAAAAAGTTTTTTGATAGTTTCTTTCTTTTCTATTATAAAGTTTTAACTTTAAAATTTCTGTAAAATTATATTTATTTTTATTTTGCAAATTTTTCTAAAGTAAAGTATTGCTATAACAAAATTAGTAAAAATTGAAAAAATGTTTTATGAATTTATAAATATTATGAAAAAGAGTATCTTTAAAATAATCTTACATAATTTTTAGCAATACTTATTTCTATTACCAATTATATATTTCTATTTTAATTTGTAATGCTAAAAGATTATATAAAAAGTTATTATTATTTATATATTATTAATAATTTTTTTATATAAATTTTTAGAATTAAATTACTATATAAATATAATTTTTATATATCTAATATAAGGATAAATAATTAAAAGTTCTTTAGAAAATATTTAAAAATATAATTATTTTATAGTAAAAGAGAGAAAAATACTAAAAAAAATTTTTTTTTTACTTTATAAACTAAATATTATTTTTTTAATAAATAATCTATATTTAATATTAATTTAAAAAAATTATTTAATAGTTTTTTCCCTTTTTATTACAAAGTGTTTATATATTAAATTATTTTAAAAATTGTATTTTTATTATAGTTAGAGTTGAAGAAGAACTACAATCACTATTTAAAAGTATTATATAAATAAAGCAGATATATAATATCTTATAGTCTATAATATAATAGTATTAGATAAAACTAGTTTAAAGATATTATAAAATCTATTCAGAAGTATAGAAATTTTAAATAAAATATAATTTAATGATTTATTTAAAACTATTAAATTGTAAAGATGATATTATATGTATAAATGTCTAAATTATTAAAAATTCTTAGTAGATTAAAATATATATTATTTAAATTACTTATTATTTTAAAAAAAAATTTCTTGAAGAAGTACAATATTTTTTATATATTAATATGATAAATAATGATTTATACATATACAGTATATTAATATTTAATTTTTTAATTGTTTTAATTTATTTTATTACTTATAATTTCTTATTACTTTACAAAAAAATACTAGATTCTTGAATCTTTTACTTTATCTTAAAAAATTTAGAGAAATTAATATATTTATTATATTTATTTTATTTCTATTTATTATTTATCTATAAATTAATAATAAAAATAATTATTTTAAAGATATTAAATCTGCATTCTGATTTAATTCTATTAGTTATAAGTAAAATGTAATACTAAACAATGATAGATTTATAAATATTATAAATGCAAAAAATTTCTATTCCTATAAATACAATAAATAATGACAAATTTATAAACATAATCATAGATATATAATGAAAATCACTTGGAATACATTTTTTATAGAGTTACTATATATATTTCAAGAAATTTATCGACGCATATCTTAGCGGTATTAGGCAAAGAGTTATTTCTACTCAGCTTAATATTCCGACTAGTACTGTAAGTGATATCATAAAAAAATATAAAGAAACTGGTTCTTCAGAACCCAGGCAATGTTCTGGACGACCAAAAATACTCAGTGAACATGATACCTGAGCTTTAAAACGTATTGTCCGAACTGACCGGTTTTCTTCTCTAGGTAATGTGACAGACAAACTAAATACCAATCTTGACGCAACTGTACACTATAATACAGTCAGAAGTTACCTTCATGATGAAGGTCTCAGAAGTTATACTGCACGAAAAAAACCTCATTTAACTCCAAAACATTGAACTAAACGCTTAAATTGGTGCAAAGAAAAAAAATTGGATAGAGGAATGGAAAAGTGGTATGGTCAGATGAGTCAAGATTTGCTCTTTTTCAATCAGACGGTCGAGTAAGAGTATGGAAAAGTCCTGGAGAAGCATACAATAAAGATTGTATTCAGCCAACAGTTAAGTTTGGGGGAGGATCAGTGATGTTTTGGGGATGTTTTGGTTGGCATGGGGTTGGTCCTTTGGTTGTGGTGGAAGGAAACACGAATATATAAATGTCTGGCCAATAATTTTATCCCATGGGTTGACAATTACCCAAACTCCATTTTCAACAAGATGGGGCGCCCTGTCATACTTCAAATTACAGCGTTTTGGTGGATGAGAACACATGGTATTCCGATTTTAGACTGGGTGGCACAGAACCCTGATCTAAACCCCATCGAAAATCTGTGGAACCATTTGGATTATCAGGGCAGTACAAGAGGAATGGCGAAAAATTACTATTGAAACATGTCATCGCCTAATTTTGAGTATGCCTAATCGGGTTAAAGCTGTAATCAAAGGCCAAAGGTGGTCATACTAAGTATTAATTTTTTAGCCATAATATTTTTCGTATAATAGCTTTATATTTTATATTTTAATAAAATAAAATTTATTTTGTCAATTAATAAGTACGAAAAAAATTTATATATGATCATAAAAATTATGAATTTTAATGTAAATTTTATAAATAAAAAAAAATCCGAATACTTTTTGTAGGCCAGTGTAGATAATTGGCTCATATACATCTTTCTTTATGAAAGAAGCTAAAAGAATCTTCATTTGCAAGTCCGTTAGGTATTCTTTTCTTCACCAAAATGATGTAATTCCGTAAGTTTTCTTTGCGATAGAGCTGGAAATCGTTTAATGGTCGTTCACAAGGATGTAACAATTTTTCCAAGGATGAATAGGCCATCACTTGTTGGAGTAGCTTATCTTTATAATATTTTTTGATTATATTTGATAAGTTTGTGTTAGTTAGCCTTCGAAACATTAGGCATTCAGAAAAATTCGAAAGATCTTGTCATTCCATTAAATAAAAAAAAAATATCATGTCGCTCGAAACATTTTAAAAAGATTTTGCAATTGTACAAGTAGCGGGTATTATCTGTATGGTAAACATCGTTTTTAATTGCTAAAAGAAAGTGAGCCAAGATGCAAAATATAAAAAATTTTGTCATAAAAATGAAAAGTAGAGTGCTTTTTTGGGAGGTTATTAATTTTATCAAAATCAATCTGTTTTATCGCAAATTTCTTGTGATAATTTAAGAAATCGTGTACTCTTGATTTTGTTTACAACGGGCCATTTAAAACTTTACTCGTCAATCACTTTGACATCATATTACGTAATGTAATTAGTGCTTCAAAACCGGTTTTCAGTCTTCGGTTTTAGTCCATTTATTTAGTAACCGGTTTTAAAAAAAAATTTTAAA